ACAGACGGTGGCACTGTTGTTGTCTCAGACACAGTACTGCCGCCCAGCATATCATGCTCCGTTCCAGTTTTTCCTGCACTACCAGTAGTAGACCGCTTTCCAGAAGAAGAACGCAGCTTCGTCGCTTTATCTGAAAAGTATTTTCCGAGCAAATACAACCCCATACTTGGAGCTTCTAGATTTGGATGTTCAGAGGGGGTGACAAAAACGGGTACCCATTCAGAAGGCGTTTATTTTGACGCTAGCAGTATCATTGAATCAGTGCCAAGAAGCACTTCAGGGCAGCTTACACAGCACGAGCGTTCGCAACAGAAATTAATTACCCACGAAAATCCTATTATAGGTCGCTTCTTCATGCACAGACGCACATCAAACTACTATCAATATTACTTGTTTTTGGTGGATCGTCTAACTTTAAGCACATGTCTCGTGATTGAAAACCTGAATTGAAGCGTAATAGACGTACCGTTGTTCTCAAGCAGACTTGAAACGCTGTCCCATCTAGCTCTGAAAAGTGCGGCTTTTCAGTAAACACAATGCAAAAGTTTCTAGAGAATATGGGGTTTGAATTACAAATGGGTTTCGGTGTTTCAGTATAGCACCTGACGGGCCTCTGTCCAAAAACGTGATAAGTTGCGTAGAAAGTAACCAAGATCCAAACCAGTTCGCAGCAGTGTAGCGTGAAAGGCTCTTCGTCTGGGAAAGTATAACCAATCAAACAAAATCGTAATAAAGTACTTCCCATTTTCCTTTATTTGTTCCCATGATAGGTTGCCTTCTTCACAAAGGTCCAGTGAAAGTGTCTTTGACTCGAATACCAAGGCATTTTATGACAGGGTCACATGTCTGTTTCCCATTTTATCTTCACTGAATTGAAAGAGCAAGGCGTCTTCCGTCGTAACATTTATTCTATCTCAAACTTCCTGAAAAAAATGTTTCAGGAGTTCGGCCGAAAGCGTGTACTCTCCAAGAGAGGACGCTTTCAATAAGAATACGATTTTAGCTTCTTCCGTTGGTGCACGATTTTTGGAAGGACTATAGCAGCAACATGAGTTCGCGTTTGTTTCCGGATGACATGCCTAGAGAACATGCCAGTGAACTCTGATTCCGAACAGTGCAACGAAGTTTTAGCTTCGCGTCGTTCCTCGAACATCATCTAGTAACAATAACTTGATTTTACTCGATAACTCGTAATCGGGACCTAACATTCAAACCGAGAAACGGAAATCGGGCAGCATCTAAGGTTTTGTTAGAAGTCACTATAGACACCGTTCAAAGGGGCTCATGTGTGACAGAAATAGAACTGGGATATCACCCATGCCCAAAATAGTCATTTTGGTTGATTGGTGCCCAATACAAAGCTATAATTCCGAGTGATCATCTCAGTTTGTATCAATCGTTTTCGAAATCATGTACTGTTTTAGCGAAAAAACCTACCCATCAATTAAGAGACGAATTCTGATTCGGTAGAATGAGAGCTACAGTGAACCCTTTTGCAGAGGAGCCGTTTCGCTAACTTTTCTAGGTGTCTAAGTTCACGAGCATTGGTCGAGTGCGCTTGTCTTGAAACCTACAACTCACAGGCTTTGTCAACGCATCACCAGCTTTTTGCATGTGTACCTACAACTGGAACAGTTGCAACCCATAGAAACAATGTAGCCTTAAAATTGTCTCCTAGTTTCATTAACTCATGGAATCTCTATTTGGGTGGCCTGGCGAAGAAAGCAATAAGACAAACGATCCTGCCATCATTATATGATGACTACCGACCTAAATCTTCGGTATGCGATCACATGCCTTTGCTCCCTAGAGTGTCAAACTTGCATCTCTGAGTCAGACCATTCGGGTGCGATCATTACAAAAAACACTATGAAATTCGTCACCAATGAAATGTTTACCTGATGAATCTGCATGGAAGTTTATCAAATTATGAGTCACTGAATCTATTCACCCTCTGGATACAGCCAGATCATACGTTAAGGAACACAGCGGGCTAAGAAGTTTGCATGGTGAGCCGGTGCGTGACTCGCTGATTCGCTATAGCATTGGAAACGGCTACTACCTGGGGTATGCATACGATGTGCCTGACCATGTGTAGAACGAACGGAACATCAAGGATGGACGAGCTTAACTGATGTGAAGCTGTTTCTATCCAAAATGAGAGAAGTCAACTGATGCACTGGAGTTCAGCTTAAGAGGACCGTATGTCACAATATGCCAAATCAGTTCACTCGTCTGTGGTTTTTGGCGACCAACGGAAAGGTCTATTAATCCATTTGAACAGATCAGGAATGCGCTCGGCGTTCTTTGTTTGATATTGAGGGAGAAGCATAGAATGGCACTGTAGTGACTCAGATATATTCAAATCACTGGGTGAAGGCTGTTCTCCGCATACCATGAGAATCCCTACTGAGTCATTACGGTGAGTTCACTGGATCATGGACATCATTGACCACTGTGGGACGTTTTCGGGTGGTTGGAAATACGTCATACTTGAACAGGCGGAACATTCTTGAAGGTTGTCATTTATCCTGGAAAAGAAAGTTTTATTATCGCATTTGCGACTCGATTTCTGGATGGTATCGTAATATGTCTGTTCAGCGTGAAAATTATTGAGTTTACATTTTTGCATGCTACAAGAAGAAGCGACTTCGTTGATTTCGTTGTTTTTGGGGAAATGTGCCCATCCGCTACAAAGATAGTGTGAAATTTTGTCAACTTTTCCTGTTTTTGTACATCAAATGCTAGTACACTTGAAAAATATGTAGAGTAACCGGAGAATATTATGTTGAATACGAATTACAAAAAATAAATGTCAAATTTAACTCGTGATGTTCCAGTTTGATCTCCGCTTTCCCCATTTAGTGGTCGATAAACCAAATCTATCATTTCTAGTTTGTCCTAAACGCTAAATTTATGCCCTTTTAGTTGGTCTCCTTTTCACATCATGTGTTTTTGGACACAGGGTACCCTCCCCTCGTTGGGAGTTTTCTTCACAATTCGAGTGTTTCCGCGTCGGTTTCTTTTTGCTCTGATGGTTCTCTAGCACACGACACTGTTCTAGAGTTAAGTCTAAGAAAACGGAAGTTATACTTTAAGAGAAAAAAAGGTCGGATAATTTGATCACGCGAGATGGAACCAGGACGACTGTGATTATTTCACTATTAATCACTATCTTCCATCATTCAGTTAACCTCTTTCCTCCTATGTCCCATTGTTGTCAATCGTACAAGCCTGCTCTCAAGTGGCCCAGTCCACTGCCAGATTTTATCAAATGGGTCCACCTACGTAATCACTTTGATTCCCATTTACCATACGCATAACAGTGGTTATTTACTCCGCAGCGCAACAGTAGAACCAACCTGAAAGGCCAGCGATCATGTCACACCTACCTGATGACTCTCATTCCGGACGGAGAGTATAGCGGACTACTTCTCAGGGGGTCTCAGGTCTCACGGGGTTGGTGCCTACCACAGCGTCCACCACGACCAGCAGAGTTCACCGGGGACTGTCGAATAAACTTGCGACATATTTCACTCCACGTGCTAAGCAAGTAAATCTTTTTGGTGAAATTTCTACGTGAAGAATAGTGCTCAACGATGAACTGGATTGAGTTGAGTGAAATCCAACTGAAATTATCCACGCAGTGACTACGAAATCGTAAGTACAATAATTTCAGTGCATTTACCTCATGCGTTGAACATTTTTTTCTTTTTTCCTTAGTGAGTCCTGCATAAAATCTCTCCAATCGCGAAGTTATTTTCTTGGTAAACTACTCGTATATGAGACGTCCCTCAAAGAGATTAGTTGAAATATTTCACACCACAAGAAACGCGCTTACACCAGCATATTGTATTTTCTATCTTTCGATCGATGATAGGTACCGCGATGTTAGGTATGAAACAGTCGCGGACACTATGCCCGCTGTGGATCAACGGTAGAAAGCAGAATTTCTCCATCAGAAGCTAATTCACACATTCATCTTATGCGCACTGGCGTGAACTCTCAACGCACGAGACTGTACAAGAAGTACCGTAGGGACTGCTGGTATTTGAGTCTTCCTGGTAGACCGTCAGTTTCTCGAACTGCACCTCCGTTGGTAAAGAAGGCATTCTGTTGATTGCCATAGGTCCGGTCTCTAGGGTAATTCTCCTTAAACAACTATTTTCAATGTAGACTTACCAACAAGAGGCAATAATAACCTTATCTTAAGTAATGCTATGGCGTATTCCTATCAGCTTTCTGTCATCGTTTTCTTCGGTTGTCCGAGTATAACCTTATCTTAAGTAATGCTATGGCGTATTCCTATCAGCTTTCTGTCATCGTTTTCTTCGGAGCATTGTCCGAGTCTGGTGAGAATACCGGAGAGGTTACCGATGACGAATAGTGGTCAACGCCGGTGCATATTCTTACAGGCAAATTAGCATGGAAACCAGAAGTTCATGAATTCACCTTTAATTAGATTCTGTCACACAGAAAGACAAGTGGGATCTATGGAGTGCGGTGAGTTATGAATCTACTGCGACTCTGATTTGCTGTTCGTAATATTCGTTAATTCAAACTGAAGACCGTGGCGCTCACTTATTTGGTCATCTGCTATTTCACGGGGCATTGTCAGCGTGTACTGTCCGAAAAATTCACTAAAATCGCAGGGAGATCTCATCGACCTGAGCTCATAATTGGGAAGCGGGCTTATTTCATTTATCTTTTCCGGCTCATTTATTTACGTAGACGCCAAATCACCCAAAAATTTTACTTCCGTCGTAAATCACATTGATCACTCGTTCACAGTACCAAAGCAGCCCAGAAATTATTCGATGCTTGCTTTTTTCTCTGTCCTAAAAGCTGCGTATATGAATATCTGGTAAGGTAAGCCTGACAGAGAAAGTACAGCCCTCAAAGTCATGGCAGGGAAACAAGTGAAGAAAGAAATGCATAAAAACTATGCGGAAAATGACGGAACAATACTGAAAATGAAACTAGACATTTGACTTGGATCACTCATTGATGATATCGTTAAATCCGCATTCGCCTGGAATGAGTCTAGCCCGCTGATAAACATGACGAATAAGTTGTTTGGACGGTGTGAAACTGGACCTTATTCGGTCATTTTCGTTTACTCCATAAAAATTCCGTTCCTCAATTCCTATAGTCATTGGGTTTTGTGAGCTAGTTCTATAAGCTGGGCTAAAAACATTCAAATCTGACTGTCGGTACCGTTCCTCAAACGGTGGTGTTGTTATACCATGTGCGACCGATGGATGCCACCCCAAACTTGAGCTGCTCCGCTCGTACGTATCCCTGTGGTGACGGCGAACTGACATACTTCGTATATCGAAATCGATCAAGCGCCCTGGGTCTAAATGACAAAGAGACTGAAATCGGTGCGCTTGAGACGGTCTTCTACGTATGCGTGTAATGACTGAATAAGCAGATTTGGCTTTTCGGCGCGAAAGTTCCACAGCCGGCCTATTATCCAGGCCTTCTAATCTGCCCAGGGTGTGTCGAGGAGCTTGAAAGACAGCATTATGCAGTTTCGTCAAAAATTTCTGGAGGCTAAGCACATACACTGCTTCATTCTTACTAGATCGTTGACGTTGATATTTGTCTAAGGAAAATGGTCTGACAGGTATGCAAGTAGGTAAGTTCGACCATGCCAATGGAAAATCATCCAGTGCGACAATGTAAGTCCAAACCGGGGGACGGCGCGAGCGAACAGTTGTGAATCCATGGTTCACTGCGCGTGATTCAGACGCATTACGAAAATGAACATTCCCGACAACTTCACGAGTTCCAAATTTATCTTTACCAAACGATTTTGGCATATGAGCGAGGAAAGCATCGAGCTTGTTTTTGAAATGGGGCAGAATGTCCTCTCTGCACAATATGCGATTGCCAAATAATTTCGCATCGGGGTCCAAGTGGTTTGAAACTATAGTATCAGTCCTCTCACGTGTTGAATATGTAACGAGGCACAATTCATATTGTGGGCGCAGATTCTTTAACATACAACAAATTTTAGGTCTCACCACTACCCGCTCGCCAGATTCAACTTCGGTTATCAAAGTCTCATCCATATCACATACCAAAATGAGTTTTTTGTGGTTCTGACAATAAGCTGGGGTTAGATGCGAGCACAATGACACCACATTTCTATTTAAATGGGTCATGGTTTATGAATGCTTCGTATTGGAATGATTAAGCACCATTTTCAGTCTTGATTTTCTTTGCATCAAACCCCATATTGAACGGCAAACGCTCCTTCTGTTCCAGGCATACACCACTGGTCGAGCAGACTGGTCACGTGAAGAAATTATCGATTGACCTTGAAGTCAAAGCTGCATCCGACCGTCGCAACCTATTAATCAGCCAGTCGGTCATTCGGACGGGAAAGTAGGACAGAATAATCCACACACAAAAAAAACTGGACATCTTAATTCCTTTCGCTTGAAAGTGTCAGAATCCGCTAGTTTCAGCCAACTTATGGATGGACGCATAGATTAAGCAGGTACTGAGAAAGCTACACCTCTGAAGGACACTACCCCTAACCGTTGATTTTTTTGCAAAAGCTGTTTTTGATTATATCTTAACGGATTCTAAAGTTTCGTTAACCAGCGGAAGAATTTTCACCATCGGGTTGAGTTCAGGATAATACTAATATCACCATCTTCAGTGATCCGTTGGTCGTGTCAGGCTGAACGAGTTGATGCTGCTTTCGTAGTGTTTTGGTCGTGTTTCTGAGGCTCGTGGTCGTTTGGATGCTGGAATTAGTAAGCAGAGTCAGCCATGTGTTTGTGATTCTGGCTAGCTCAACTTGATATCGTTTGAAGCTGGATCAGATTATACTTTCGCATGATATATACATTTACTCTTTTGTCCGTCTTCGCCTTTCCCTATTTTGGTCGGTTATCGCACCGTTTGCTGCCACACTCGACTACTTCAGGGTGTAAAATAGCCTCTCAATAAGTAATACCCATCTGAGTCGGTGAATTCATTACTTACTGGAGATTTGAGGAGTTCCCCACAATCCCACTCCAGTTACCACTGAGGGATTTCTCATAACAAGACGGATAAGTGGATATGATCTAAGAAAATACATGATACTGCTCGCGAATCACCATTCAGCACGCCCAGAAATTGCATCCCAAATAATTGGATCCCCCCTCAAATCACATTTATGCTTTCCCCATATTCACCACACCCGTTCTCTGCTAGTAATACTTTGAAGATGATAGCTGGTGTTCCCACCCTATCAGCGACCCCCTGCCACTATAATATTGCCTGATGTGTGTCTCTGATTTAGCAACTAAATTTATCTATCTGGGTAGATGAATGAGTTTAAGTAAACAGTGTGGAGGTGAGGTGATGTCATTTCTCGAGTCGATGAGGTCAGCTAGGCTTTTGCCAACCTGAAACACGTGTGGCGTCTGTGTGATGTCAGTTCGTTTGATAAAGATAGACTACAAAGTGCGATAGTCCAATCAGCGCTGCTTTGTGGATCAGAAACGTGGCTTCCAAGGTTGTAGAAAGTGTTCAAAACTGTCGGTGTTTGACCACCGGTGTCACCAAAGCCCGGTCTGTTTGAAACATAGGATTAGTAGTGTTGAAGTATGCCAGATGGTTGTAAAAAGAACACCTTCTACTTGGCGGTTAACGAAAAAGTAATCCAGCATTGACAATATCAAACATCGCATCTTCATCTTAACTTTTAGAGTTTAGTTATTAGCATCAATCAGGCATTCGCTACCTCCTGTAGAACTTCCACCAATGTGTCACGTAAACTGGAACGGTAAATATTGTCGGTTTCGAAATTTGACCAACCCGTTGTTGCTCGCTGAAAATCTAATGCAGTTCAACTCTGGCTATTCAGTCAACTTCTTCTCGTAACTGCTTGCGAGCGACAAGAATGCATTCCTGACAAGCGTCTGGGAGCCACTAATGTGCTATCTCTCCAGGCTACGGCAGCACATAACCACAAGGGTAGGAAGATTCTTGCTGATGTTTACACATTCTCTCCGTTGTCTTGAACAGTGGCAGACACCACGTGATATCGTATAGAACGCCTGCTCTCGAATAGCCAAAATGGTCACATTTCCTTTCCACGGAATCATGTGGATGTCAAGGTAGTATTCGAAATAACTAGGTGCACGATACAGGAAGTAGAGGGAATGCATTTTACATGAGCTGAGGCAGTTTTCCAAGGCGTTGATCAGCTCACACCTCCCCAAATCCACGCTATGACGCCCAACGTGCCTCTTTGCCGAAATCGTACACTGCAGGCACTGAGCCCATAATACACTGTTTAGCTACAAAACAGGACAAACAGACCAATAACTGGTAGGTAATAACTGTTGAATTAGTTCAGCGAATATCTGAGTGATTCAAAATTTATCAACATCATTTTTTGGTTGTCCAACGACTCAGTTTTTGATTAGCAGGTCTAACTGAAAACCTGAATGGGAAAATATCTTGCGCAGGTTTTGGAGCCATCGTGGATATTAGCCATCGCACAGACGTAAAATTCATCAGCAAAAGCACTCATCTCTCAACGGTCGTCACAACCTTGGTGAGTAGCGGGACAGGTGAATGTAATCCCACTACGACTGACTTCTCTCATCTTTTATTTATTAGTTTCTCCCAAATAGAAGTCAAACACTAGCAACGACTGTGGGTATGTTGACTAATGGTGACTTAATGGTGATGGTGATGAAAGTGATGGAAAAAGTAGTTCTGTCTGGTAATTATTTCCAAATATTGGCAGCTTGGGTGCGTTAACTGGCTGTAGATCAGGTGGCCGTTGATTTGTTCGTCGAACTTGGTAGTGCGCGCACTGCACATTATCACAGCACACTGAAGGGATCTGCATGATTGGTGACGAAACTTCCACAAGCAAACTTCCAAGCTCGGTGAACAAATCAGCGGCCACCTCACCTGCAATCAATTACTTCGTTTTTTCATAAGGGTAAGCTCTTCTCAAGAGATTCACTGAATCTTCCTCTAGTCCCATACAACTGGAAATTTAGCTTCACCTTCCTAACAATAGATTTTTCACCCCAGCCGAACTTTGACGTGTTATTTACTACTTTATGGGTTAAATATTGTATGCCTTAAGATTGATTATCTTGTGCTTGTGTTCCATGTCTCCTAGTTGACCAAATGAGGTTTAGAAAAGGTTACCGCATGGAACATCGGCCTCATTCAGAAAACTTGAATCAAAATGTCTATTAAGGGTGTTCTTTCAGTGTTCGTTCTTTCATATAAGCCTCAGCGTACGTCACGTGAACGTTTTTGTTGCGATAGGATCTGCTAAATGACGTCACCTTGCTACACGAGGATGGGATGGCAATCATTTGTTTAAACAACATACTCCGTGACACTCAAAGTTACGCCAACTTTTTTCTCACAATTGCGGCTGCGAACAATTAATTTTTACTTAATCTTTGCTCATAAGTGCGCCTTTGTTGGTCACAATGACCTTCGCTGATTACAAATGGGTTTGTCACATTAGCAAATATACACTCATTTGCAAACTAATTTGGTTTTTCGATCCCAAACACGTGCTGTTCCTGCTGTACGCAGCCCATGAAACCTTGCGTTGGTTGAACATCATCATCACGCTCATCTTAGCTATCAACTGGATAGAGGTGAAAGTAGTCCTAGATTGTATATCCTTTCCCTCCCAAACTTATTTGAATCGCCTGACTAAGTGATTAACTTTGGTTTTGAGTGACATGATTCTTACTCGAGTGTTAAAACACAGGTGTTATGAGTAGAATATTCGGTACCGATTTGCACTCTACACATCAAAGATAAATGGAGGCCAACAGATTAGATTTCAATAAGTTTGTTCAGTTGAATCAACAGGTTAGGAAGAACATTTACGCAAAAATATATGTGCAGAAAGAATGCATCTTTTATTAGCCTGTGAAATTGAGTATTTTATGCCTCTTGATACCAGATTCCTTTAAGCTGAACACAGTTTTGTGTTGTATTGTGGACCACTCCGATAAACTGAACCACTCTGGCTACTGCTCATGGATAATATTTGGGAAGGAAGGGCACAAAAATATGAAGACGACTTATTCGTGAGAATTAGATACGAACTCCAACTCCTGCCCAAATAGCCACGCTGTTCAATGTCCACTGAGTGACCTTCCGTAAGGACAAACGCCATCATGTGACTTCGGTTTCCGGTAACCTGAACCAAAGTAGTGTGCAATAGATTTTTTTAACATTGGCATTCCCGTGTATGGGAGATGGTAAACCTCTTCGCTTCTGTTGCCATTGCACAAATCCAGGGTAAAAATGTGCACACCGTTCTCTGAGTCTCGCACCCGGCAAGCAGCTCTAACGTCCATATTGTTTCTTTCGAAACCAAAAATCCATTCTTACTGTGTAACCTACAATTATCCCTTACGTATTTTTCAATGTTGTTATTTCCGGTCGAGTGTAATACCTTTCCATTTCACGGAGCAAAGATTTTCCCAACATACGCAGCCGTTCCCTATGCAGATTCTGGCCTGAGCCAGTAACTTTACTCTGCCTATTTGACAAGTATCCTGATGAAGATCTTACTTCCAAATAAGACTGAGACCCACTCGTGAAAACTAAACATTTGTTTCCGCTAGAATGATACCATCTGCCAAATGTCACTGATTTGGTTCATTCGTTCTCTGAGTCTTTAGAAGAATATGGTGTATTCTCGAAGGAAACCACTAATAAAGTTGAGACCTTTGACAGCCTGCAACCAATTTCGCCCATCTTAGAATTCATCAGACGAGTGTATTTAGCAAAGACTGTGTTTTATTGTTGTCATCACCATTAACATCACGATTATTATCACCAGCTTCATAGGCTTCAAAATGCCTCCAAACAGCATTGATGTTTATCACTATGGTTTCTGCGTGTTGCTGAGTTTTACAGCAAAGTTACGCAGATAATCTGATGACTTGAGCACTGTGATTTCAAGGATTTGTGACGCTGCTTGAAATGTGTGTGCTACCTAGCTAGCTTTATGTCACCGTGCCATGACGAACTTGGGAAGACTGAACCGGAGATCTCAACTTAGTGACTTGAGACACCAGAGCTAGCAAGTATGCCCCTTTCGCTTGAAATAGCTGTCGCCATGACATAATCATAGTTCCTTTCTACCTTTGTAAAACGTACTGAC